CGATGTACATTTATTCAATGAGGGTGGGTAATTATCAAGGATAGAACTGATAACGGTATGGATAATAAACATTGACAATTACGTCATTAGCTTTACTAGCGTGTTTACTTTTTATATTCCTGCTACATGTGATCAGTTCCTTTTTTCAAATGAATGTTATTTGAACCAAACAGCTGATTCAAAACAAACTGTTATTGTTTTTACTTTTCTTTGTTTACACTTATTTATTTAGCAATTAATGCAGTGAAATTGAGGATAGGTGTGACGATTAGTTTTGATGTTAGGACACCACAGTTAAATTATGTGTACTGTGAATTTTATTGGATATTATCGTTTTATTTTAGGTCGTTTCTATTCAGACCTACTGGAAATTGTGTATAGTAGTTGTATTGTGGTGATAATAATTAATGAAGAGGCAGGTATGCTATGGAAGGTAAAATCGTTGACTAGGTCTATACACTTCTCAATTTACTTATCATAGATTAAACATACTCCCTAAGCTATTACTCTCTCTACTGTAGCACAGAAAACATACTACAGTACTATTCTGTGACTGTAGGCTACTTATAATCAGTGTGCGTCTGTGCGAATCGGCTGCCTCACTTCAACGCTTTTCACATCATAAAAATTGCAGAATTGCTGTTTTATTGTAAAATTATCGGATTTAAAATGCATATAGTATAGGCCGTATCAGGTATATATATCAGGTATATATTATGATGGAATAAAAACATATTTGGTCACACAACATTTGTTTACAAGATGATTTTTCACATTAAAACTGCAAGAAACTTTGTCTTTATATGTGTAAACTAGCTGATCTGAATTGTACACGGTTTTAACTGACTACTGAATTCCCGTACGTAGGACGGGCTAACACCTCGTCTTTTTTAAATTCTTTTTCTTTGTCCCACCATAAATACTAATTCCATATTTAATATTTGATTCAATATGAGCATGATATATCATTTTAAGGACTGATCCTTCACAGAGATATGACATTGTTCTTAGGACGAATATACCAGAATTCAGTTTTTTTATTAAATACTCGACATGTTTATTCCAGCTGAAATCCTCATCTATTATCAAACCCAATAGTATTGTGGTTTTAACTTGAACAATGGAATTTGTATCTATATCTAACTTTATACTTTTATCATTTTTGTCTCTTTTTGTTTTGAAAAGAATGGAATTTGTTTTACTAGCTTTAAGTACTAAATTATGGTCTTTAAAAACTGATTCGGACTTTTTAATTCTGATTTAGCAGACATTTCTAAATCAGTTAGGGATTTCCCAGTTGTTTTAAGATTTAATATCATCTGCATATATATTTATCTTACTACCTGGGTCATTTAGAGAATTCGGAAGATTTTTAAGGTAACGGATGTTAGCTACGCTACGACGCCATTACATACGTCACTAGTCAGCCATTTATTTATGTGCCACTGCAAGTTAATAATACAACAATGCTACAACTGTAAAAATGTTCGACTGCTGAATCCCGAAAATGGGAATTGTAGACTTTGAGCGGGAAGCGGAAATCGGAATTTGCTGCTTTCTATTTTCCGTATAAAAACTTATTAATTGTTGGATAATTGTTTACGACAGCGACAGTGTTATTGCAAGATGTAAGCGTCATTTAAATAGTCTTTTTTTAATCATATTACGTCAAAAAGGTAACACCGGATAAACCGGAAAAAGTCAAGCAGGATAAAGTGGGATTTTAGATACGGTAAAGTGGGATAATATGTGATTCTATGACCGGTCGATCCGGTGAGTGGGATTTTTATTTTGTCGTGTGGACTGTGGAGTGTGTGAGTGGATTGAAACCGTTTGGTAATACAAATACAACTGTGCGATAGTGGTTGTCCGACTGTTGCTGTGTACATAAAACTGTAACTAATTTTGATGTCCGTAGTTTTTTCTTGAGATGAAAACAAAGAAATAAATTGCGTTTTGGATTCGAACTGGAACTGGACATGTTTGGATTGACATTAGAAAATGTCAAAATATAACATCAACAATTAACATAACCAAACTAAGTAAACAAACCGGGACTGAGAATTTATCTGAATTGAACAAGTGTTTGAGTTATGTTTAGTTTTAAATAAAAATGGATACATAAACAAAGAAAACGAAGAGTGCAATATGGAAATATTTTAGAAAACTTGACTACACTGAAAAGGCTAAATAAATGTACTCAATGCAAACTTGTGCTCAATGTACTGTAGGTCTTAAGTTATATTTGTTGAACCTTAATTTGTCAAATGCGATGTTTTAACTGTGAGAATAATTCATTGCAACTTAATTCATGTGTCTGGAGCACTAAAGATAACTGATTGCAGATTAAGTTAATTACTTGGCTAGTCCCAATGGTGTAAGTCACACCCTTGTTATCCGTAACAAAGCCCTTTCTTTCCATATACGTTTTTTACCGTCCAAAAAAATTGAAATAACTTAAATAAATCTTGAAAAGCTACAAAATATAAATTAGGCCCTTGGTTATTCTATGTATTTATGTCTAAAGTAACTTATTTATTCCCCTACAGTACCTAAATTATCTCAACCCCCCATAAGAATAACATGGGATGGGAATTGAAAGGCCACTGGGGCAGAGCCCCAAGGGAATTTACCACGTTTCTCTTTTGATGGCTCATCTACAGACCAAGCCCTTTCTTTAGACACCTCTACCCTCCACCGAGTTTCTACGCCCAGCCGTTCTCTCAAATTAGCTGTCACAAAGAAAAACAGTTTCAAATTAATATATAGATTAATGTCATTATATGACATTTATTTACATTTGTTTAGCCTAAAGTGAAAACAAAAACAAGTAGGCTAGGCTAGGCCTATTTTAAACCATTTATATTTCAATTATCAATTATCAACCATTGAGATGGGGATGCGATCTAGGTGCGTATTTTAACCCAAATATGAGTGAAGGATGTTTTTAATACTGTTAAGTATTGGAAAGAGATTGTAAGTTATGTAGGTTACTAAACTTAAGCATAGGGCCTACTTTACAATAGGCCTAAGCTTTATCAAAGACTTAAAATTTATTTAGTATTTTTATAAAAAAAAGGCTAACTGAGACCTTGATTGAATGTCTACATGTAAGAAGAAATGTAAGATGTAGGCCTAATTGCAACATTTGTGGTCTAGGGACATATACAAACAGTTAAAAACACATTCCAGGTAAATAATTTTAATTCACCATACAGTAAAGTAATTTTGATCTGATCAATAATATTAGTTTAATGTTACAATATATAAAAATGAAGTTAACTTATTAACTTTGCTATTAATTTATTAAATAACAGCGAACTATCCGAATCTGAAAATATCCGAATCCGAACCTATTACTGTACGATCCGATCCGATCCACAACTATCCGATCCAAACTCAAATTTCTCTATCCGCACACCTCTAAAAAAAATCAGCTTTGTTTACATTAAACATGTGATTACAAATATAATGTATTATCATTTTTATTCTAGTTTTGATTCTGTTGATAGAGTGTGTGAAGTTTGTTTACTAATCAACAAATAATTTAAATGGATTCTGCTCTCACTAAGTTGATCTAAAAATGCTTAACTTACAATTTTCCATAAACAATTATATGTTTGCTACTTTTAGCAGGGTTAAACTTGAATGCTTTGGAATGACTCAAATTATTTATTGAAAATAACATTGACAAAAGCATACAGAGAGAAAAAAAATATTAATTAAACTAAAAACACATCTGCCTTAAAAAAATAAGGTTGCCAATGACACAGAACAAATTTACACTTAAAATATTGAAGGATTATAACAGCTATGAGACTGATTAATTTTGATGTTTGCCATATAAATGATTTCTCATTATAGTCATTAAAAAAATTATTTGTCCCCATCCCCATCATATTGTTTCCAAAGTTCACAACAAAATTTGATAATGTTCCTCTAGAACCAATAAACAATCCAATCACCTGCCATTTTTGAAATTATGCTTGAAACATTCAAAGGTTGATTCATCATTTTTTTCTTTTTCTCATTAATTTAATTAGGTTGATTTATGTTTATTGCATATCTAATTGTTGGATTGAGAATAGGCCTAATCCCTTTGTTTGTCTTTGAATCAACAAAATATCCACTCTTATAGTGCTTCTGTCAGAAGAAAGACAATGTACTTCATCTAGCACTTCCCATGTATGAATACTGTTTTTACACAAAATATGTGGTGTACAGGGATATCTCTCCTGGCACATAGAAAATTTGATTCTAAGTTTGTTAATATATTACAATAATTTGTTTCACATTTGAGCTTTTTAGAGACTTATGTCCCTACAATCCACTAGTTTATTTAAGATGATGTAATGAACACATTTTATAAATAACACTCTTATTTTTAATTTATTGCTCATTCAAAAATAAATTCTGGAGTCTCACTCTACTGTGGTAATCAAATTTGTAAAATAATCATATTTATGAAGACTCGGTAGAAAAAGTCTTGCCATACTTGCGTTCTCCTCTTGTAATGAAGACAACTAGCCTTAGGAGTTGGTTACGAAATAAGCTAACTGATTCCCATAACTGTTTATCCAGGCTTTGGACTAGTGAGAATCATAGGTGTTCCTTGGTCCATCGGCCTGCTGTGCCTCGAGGAGTGATGACCGACAGACAATGGTTGGGGCTGATGACTCACCCAGTCAGTTAGACACTGGGAGCAAATGTCGCAAATTCTAGAGTGGGGGCAAATAACACTTATTTGGATTTAATCTAAGCTAAAACTTGTTGTTTAGTGTTTGAAAGACTAATTATTTATATGTTTTATAGTAACTGTAGGAAAAATGTAATACGTAACGCAAGCGCAAAGTGCCTATGCTGCAATCAAGAAACTTTCCACACTAAACCTCGAATTACTTTTGGTCTGCTTATGCAAACAGAAGTGTGCAGCTTACATTTCATCACGCAATAAGATTGTCAGAAGTTTTTCATACTGTTAAAACTAATACACGTTGCAGATGAGAGCAAAACAATCTCTGATGGTATATCCGAGTGAATATGTTCCTGCCAAGAAGATCCCTCTTACACTCCATGATGTCAACAACGATTACAGTGTTTTTGAGTTTATAAAGCCAATCCTAACTCAGGTAATTTAATACTGTTCCAGTTATTGTGTTAGTGATAATCTTGTGGTAGTTAATAATCTGAAGGAATAAATGTAAACCAACATTACCAGGATTACAATTAAATAAAATCCTGCACCTAGTGTCCAACCCTTTACTTGTTTCCTGTCTGGGGCTCTAATGCCGAGCTCGATTGGTTAACCGTAAGGCCGATCGCAGGTGTTTCCGTGATCACGATAGACAATCACCTCTGTCACCGGATAATGGGTGTTGACGCCATCGCGGGAGACGATTACCGAAGTCCCGGAGACTGCAAGTTACGCTCACGGGTGTTGTCGCGGTCGCGGGAGACGATTACCGAAGTCCCGGAGACTGCAAATACACTCTCAAGTGTTGTCGTGGTTGCGGGAGAAGATTACCAGGGTCCAGGAGACTGCAAGTTACAATCTCGAGTGTTGTCGTGACTGTGGGATAAGATTACCAAACCAAGAGACTGCAAGTTACACCCTCGAGTGTTGTCTTGGTTTTATTTATTTATTTATTGGATTACATGTCAGTACATTATAACAGGCCATATTATCAATGGTTAAATAAAGACTTAAAACTAATAGATAAAACTAATACATCTGTATTTACACAAAATCAACTGAATCTTCCCAAAATACAACATTGTTACATGACAAAAAATTGAGCTAGAAGGAGTGGGAAGGTTTATTTATACCTAATTCCAGCAGTCCTTAAAATAATCTGCCAATGAAAAAAAAAATATTTAGTCTTGAGCCATTCTATTAAAGAAAGTCTAAACTTATAGGGATTTTCTACAGTAATTAAACTTGTTGGTAAGTTATTTAAGATTTTTGGACCAATATATTGTGGTTATAACTCGAATACTTGTAAATTATGAGCTACAGGTCTGATAATATTCTTTTTTCTTGTATTGTTTTGTTAATATGCTGAGTTTGGCCGGGGCCACACTCATCTTATCCAGTCGCACTTATGGTTATCTTAGTGTGGCACTTTTAGATCTCAGTAAGGCCTTTGATTCGGTCTTACATACAACTCTTTTGCAGAAATTAGAATTTTATGGAATAATGGAGCACGAACTAAATTTTTTTAAATCATACCTCTGTGGAAGACTACAATTTGTTAATTTAGGAAAACATAGGTCAAATTTTAAGGAGGTCCTTGCTGGGGTTCCTCAAGGGTCGGTGCTGGGTCCGGTTTTGTTTATTCTCTATATTAATGATTTGCCTAACTCTATACCTTGCAAAACAATTTTATATGCTGATGACACAACCTTCATCTCATCAGCTGACAACTTTCACTCTGCAAACCAAAGTATAGAAAACGCCATTGAATTGGGTAAGCTTTGGTTTGAAAGTAATTTTCTTGAAATAAATCATGATAAAACAGAAAAAATTTGTTTTACTTTGCGTAATCTTGAAGCAGACAATGCAGTTTCTGTTAAACTACTTGGAATATCCATAGACTCTAAACTCACTTGGGAAATACATACCAATAATATCATTTCAAAATTGTCAAGAGTATGTTGTTTGATAAGAAAACTTAAAAATTGTGTTTCTAAACCAACACTTCTAATTGTTTACCACAGTTTATTTCACTCACACTTGCTGTATGGCAATATACTGTGGGGCAATAGCTCAGGAGCTCACCGGGTCTTTACATGGCAAAAGAAGGCTCTCAGAATTTTGTTTAAAATTCCAGATAGGGTTAGTTGCAAAGCATTTTTTGCTGAAAATAGAATCATGACACTCTCTAATATTATCATTTTTAACAATTTAGTTTCCGTTAAAGAGAATCTAAATAAATTTGTTCCTTGCAACTCAATCCATGGGTATATCACCAGACAATCAAAAGATTTATATATTCCTCAAGCCAGGCTAACAAAATTTATCAAAAGTTATAAATATTTGCAAATAAAACTATTAAATAAACTTCCAATATATTTTAGAAATCAGGAAAGTATTCATTTGTATAGGTCAAAATTATCAGATTGGCTTACAAGTCGTGCTTTTTATTCAGTCGAGGAGTTTTTGCAGAATGTAGATTTTTCAACTCTTAAATGTGAGGCCAAGCAGTCTTGATGATTCTTTGTTCTTATTATGGTCTTTTCCCTGTTAATCTCATAGTTTTTTTTATTATTACTGATGCTTTATCCTTTTAAGATTCTTTTAACTTTATTTTAAAATTTTCTGTATCCTATTTAATATTTTATATAACATTTGTAACAAAACATGTTGACCTTGTCTATTGTAATGTTTATATTACCAAATGACAATAAAGATTTATTATTATCTCGCTGAATTTTTTCCACAGACGTTACCCGTGGGTTTGAGAGATACATTACGGTATATGGGGTAGGCCACACTAGAGTAAAAGCGTCCGTAAACACGTTTGTCAGTCTTGCTGGTAAAACCAGCGAGACTGACAAACGGAATTGCACGTGTATTCTCTACTAACATTCCACGGGCTTTGCACGTAAAACTAGTCGTGGGGCATTGCGGCTTATGGGAGTGAACACACTCATCTTATCTCGCTGAATTTTTTCCACGGACGTTTCTAGTTTTAACCTGACTGATTTTTCCTGGGTGGGGGGGGGGGGAGGCGGAACACGGACACGGACGATTTTTATTGCTAGTGTGGCATGCTCTATCAGTCTCACTGGTTTGCCCGAAAAACCTATCTCGTAAGACGAGTGTGGCCACGGTCAAACTGTTCCACGTGCGTCGCATGTGAAAACGGAAAAAACAGTCTCGCTGGTTAAAAATTACAAGTGTGGCCCTGTCCTTTGGGTCTCCATTAAAGTGGAGAGTTTTCTATGGACCCAGCATGCTATTTCCAAAATATAGTGATCGTAAAAAGTAAGAACTTAAAAGTTTTACGACCCACCTATCCTAGACAACATATAAAAAATGTAGACTTACCGGACCGTTTGTAACTTAACATACCTCTTTTCACTGGACTATACTGTAATATTTTCCTGGCCAAAACTACCATAATCCACTTTTGGAGAGGTATCTGATCAAGATGTAGTAAAAAAAAAACTTTATTTGAATTATTATAATTTTTATCAATAAAACAAGCATTAGTACATATATTGACTTTTTTTAAATTAATTTAGTTACAAATATCAAATCACGTTTGTTCCGCTGAACTGGCTTTCACTTTTCTGAAAGCAATCCTAGTTTATTTCTTCTATGAGTGATTCGGATAGGACTACTACTGTGGGTACTCATGTTCTGCGGTACGGAACTCTATGTTCCGCTGTACTCGTATTCCGTGGTATGGTACTCTTGTTCTGCAGTACGGTACTCTTGTTCTGCTATACTCTTGTTCTGCTGTACTCTTGTTCTGCGTTACGTTACTCTTGCTCCGCTGTACTCCTGTTCCGCAGTACGATACTCTTGTTCTGCGGTACTCTTGTTCTGTGTTAGGGTACTCTTGTTCCGCTGTACTCGTATTCCGTGGTATGGTTCTCTTGTTTTGCTGAGCTCTTGATCTGCAGTACGGTACTCTTGTTCCGCTGTACTCTTGATCCGCACTATAGTAGTCTTATTCTGTTGTACTGTTGTTCTGCGTTACGTTACTCTTGCTCCGCTGTACTCCTGTTCCGCGGTACGATACTCTTGTTCTGCGGTACCGTACTCTTGCTCTGCTGTACTCTTGTTCTGTGTTACGGTACTCTTGCTCGCTGTACTCTTGTTCCGCGGTATGGTACTCTTGCTCCCCTGTACTCTTCTTCCGCGGTATGGTACTCTTGCTCCCTTGTACTCTTCTTCCGCTGTACTCTTGCTTTGATGTACTCTTGTTCCGCTGTACTCTTGTTCCGCTGTACTCTTGTTCCGCTGTACTCTTGTTCCGCTGTACTCTTGTTCCGCTGTACTCTTGTTCCGCTGTACTCTTGTTCCGCTGTACTCTTGTTCCGCTGTACTCTTGTTCCGCTGTACTCTTGTTCCGCTGTACTCTTATTCCGCGGTACGGTACTCTTGCTCCGCAGTACTCTTGTTCTGCGTTACAGTACTCTTGTTCCGCGGTACGGTACTCTTGTTCTGCGGTACGATACTCTTACTCTGCTGTACTCTTGATCCACTGAACTCTGTTGGGGCACACTCCATGCTGAGGGACCTCACAATGGAGGGTAAAATTGCAACTGCTGGTCACACTTTGTTTAAAAAAACAACCTTAAAATAAAAACAAAGTTTCGCCCTAGATAGATTGCAGTCTTGACAAAGTTCTTAAATGAACGGCTAAATAAACGGTGTGAGCCCTTTTGGGTAGACAAACTCGTCTTAGTCCTGATGAAATATGACATTGTGTTCTCAGGCTTGTGCCCAAGGATTAAAGGAGATTTTTTAGTGTACGGATCTTAAACTCGTAGGAGTTCAACTCTACAGGCTGGCTAACTTTGTGTAAAAATGCACTTTCCTGCCTCTTCCTAATAAAAAAAAAAAAAACAAAACAAATCTGTATTTCTAGTTTTATAACCAATTTTGAAGAACATGTAGAAAAGTTGTTATTTTGCAATTATATTAAAATTTTATGTTTTAGAAAATGATACCTTTAATGACTGTACCAAAGATAAGGAGTAAGCCGATAAAGATGGTGACAGAAGTAAAAGCATTAAGTCGTATCAAATCAATCTCAAACGACTCACCAAAACCTATAATTAATGAAAATATGCCAGGTAAGTTAAGAGTATTCTTGATGGGGATGGGATTTTAAATTGAATAAGTAATATTGTTATTTTGATTTAAACATTCATGCCACCAAGACTTTTTTTCAGTCCCGTGTTTTGTAGATGAAAAATATGTATATATCGAAAACACCCAATTTCTGCGTTAGCGTAGGCTATAGGATCCAAAATTTCGGGTCGGTTTGATAGTCCATATTTGATATCCGACACTATCCATTAAATATCCGACATTTCCAGATAGACGTTTGAGACTGAGGTCTAATTTAAAATGTTCATAAGGTTACTTAAATCTTCATTAGATTTCCACGACGTAATAATTTTAACACTATACTCGTTCCCATCGATGTTACATCGGTCTATGAGTGATCGTCTATCGTCTATGACACAAAACTAAAACATTCATGTCGTCATCGTCGTCCTGGAAAATAACCGGATCAACAAATAAATACAGCAATGATAATCGATATACGAAGGTGAACATCGATGGTTGACCTACCGATGCTCATCTCATCCCTATTCAATATGTACATCTGCTACCAGCTGACCGGTCTATATTTTGGCGTGTGATGTGCAGTCGGTTATTTTAGTTTGTTTGTTCCCACCTGCCTGGCCTCGTAGTGAGCGACAGTGTTTGGGAGTGAGAAAAAAACGTGCAATCTGTTGAGATGGTAAGCAATGGAACCACTCAGCTTGAAGTCGACAAACATCGATATATCGATGGTCGACACACATTAACATCGACGTAAAGAGTGGAAGCAGGGAACCGCTCCAGTTCTTGCCGACACAAAAATATCGTACCCTCTCGGATTTTATGGTATCTGCCCCTCTATAACTAAATAGAAGCAGGGAACCGCTATCGTTCATTACGGCACGAAATAGTGGTGCTCTTTAAATTCTGTTATTAAATAATTTCTGATTATTTAATACTTGCATTTGCGGTTCTGTTACTTAAGAAAGAGATGTTTTACTGTAGCTGTAAAATTTGATTTAGAGATAAAGCAGAAAAGAACTACCGACCGAGGTCAAGTGAAAGTCAATTCGTGTAAGCTGCCTGTTACTAGGAGCGCTACGCTACGACGCCATTACATACGTCACTAGTCATGTCGGCCATTATTTATGTGCCACTGCAAGACAATAATACAACAATGCTACAGCTGTTAAAAGGTTTGACTGCCTTGCCATGTTTTCCTTTGCTTGTCTATTAGCTCTTTAACACAGCAATTCACAACATCTGGGCCCTAATTTCTATAATGTTCGTTCCGTTTCGATCAGTGATTCAATGCGCGGGATTTATATCCTGAAAATGGGAATTTTAGACTTTGATCGGGAAATGGGAATCTGAATTTGCTGCTTTCTATATAAAAACTTATTATTGGTTGGTTAACTGTTTACGACAGTGTTATTTAAAGATGTAAGCGTCATTTAAATAGTCTATCCTAAACATATTACGTCAAAAAGGTAACACCGGATAAGGATAAACCGGAAAAAGTCAAGCGGAATAAAGCGGGATTTGATACGTTAATGTGGGATAAAACGGTATTCTCTTGGCCGGTTGACCCGGTGAGTGGGATTTTTATTTGGTCGTGAGGACTGTGAAGTGTGAGTAGATTGAAACCGTTTGGTAATACAACTCAACTCAACAACTAACTGTGAAATACCGCAATGATAGTGGTTGTCTGATTGACTGTTCTGCAGGTTCTGCTTAGCTTACATAAAACTGTAACTCATTGATGTCTATAGTTTCTTCGTCAGATGAAAACAATGAAATAGATTTCGTTTTGGATTGGAACTGGAACTGGAGTTGTTTGGTTTGACATTGGAAAATGTCAAAATATAATATCAACAATTGACATAACCAAACTAAGTTAACTAACCGGGACTGAGAATTTATCTAAATTGAAAGATTGTTTGAGTTATGTTTAGTTTCAGAAAAAATGGATACATCAACAGAGAAAACAAAGAGTGCAATATGGAAATATTTTAGAAAACTTGTCGACACTGAAAAGGCTAAATAAATGTACTCAATGCAAACTTGTGCTCAATGTACTGTAGGTCTTAAGTTATATTTGTTGAACCTTAATTTGTCAAATGCGATGTTTTAACTGTGAGAATAATTCATTGCAACTTAATTCATGTGTCTGGAGCACTAAAGATAACTGATTGCAGATTAAGTTAATTACTTAGCTAGTCCCAATGGTGTAAGTCACACCCTTGTTATCCGTAACAAAGCCCTTTCTTTCCATATACGTTTTTTACCGTCCAAAAAAATTGAAATAACTTAAATAAATCTTGAAAAGCTACAAAATATAAATTAGGCCCTTGGTTATTCTATGTATTTATGTCTAAAGTAACTTATTTATCCCCCTACAGTACCTAAATTATCTCAATGATGTCGCCTGAGGGGTGTGCGACGTATGCAGCCTTGCACTCGAGCCTTTTGGAGGGGCATAAATTTCACAATTCTTGATAAAAAATGTTTTAAAATTGGTTAATTCATCAAAACTGATTTACATGTTGGGAAGCAATATTTAAAATAGGAATAATTGTCTCAAAACTGTTACAGTTAAATTTCAAAGTTAAAACTAAAGATCTACCCCCCCCCCCCCCCTTAGTGAGTTCTTAAATACAGTAGCCTGATGCCCGTGACTAACGTCCAAGGTCAGTAGAGCAGCCGTCTACGTCTGTGTGGCAGGATGCGGGAAGAGTTGTGGTTGTGACATATTTCTACCTTCCCTTCCACGGGTGTTTTCTAATTTTAGCCAGTAACCACTGATATTTTTATTTCACCGATGTTTTTATTTCACCCAAGAGATATACAATTTATCGGTCTTGCGTACGGTGATTCCAGCTCCAGCTTTTTGCTATTTATCCTGAGAGTATTTGCAATATAGGCTAAGTGTAAAAATCATTGAAAAGTGACTACGAAGCTTGACATCCTAATAGTAGTTTAAGGCACAAAAAGTATATAACCTATCGTCAATCAATATTAATCAAAATGGAGAGACAAAGATTTAATGTCCTAAAAGAGGCAAAAAGTGCACAAAATCTGTGTTTTTAGACCTTAAATTTCTAAAATTTTCTAAGACTCCCTGTGGGGGCATTATATGCAGGTCTTGCACACTTGCAATTTTCTTCTTAGGCCGGCCCTGGATGTGCCACTCTTTACAACCTTCAACATCAGTTGAGTTTAGCTTCATAATTAACCTCACTTTTCATAATCGGTATCGAGTACATTGAAGCAAAGTATCGGCGATTCGGTATCGAAGGTATCTAGGTACCTATCGAGAATTGGAATCGGCCCATCCCTAGTTATTATGCTAACGTGCAAATACATGTAAATATATGATTTTAACGTATGGTATTTTAGGCCTCTTACAATCAAAACAAGGGAAATCAAAACAATGTAAAAGTAAATCGGGCCTAAGGTAAACGTCTTACTATGAGACCTACGTTACCTAATAGCTTATTCCCTGTATTCCCTGGAAAATTTACTAAAAGGAGCTATTCTCAGTATTAAGCTAGGCTACATCTTACATAAGACTGGTAAGAAGATATATGTGGAGTTTAGTGAGTTCAGTTTTTCTCTGTGGCTGTTTGGTACAACTGCTACTGCAACTGCTAAACATATTGTATTTTTGTTCTAAATGCGCAAAATGCTCTTTTGAACTGACATAAAATTAAAACCATTCAAAAAAAGAATGTACTACCTCTGCATTACTTTGTTCATCTGAAAAGGTTTATTGTGTTACTGCTGTATACATGTTTAACACTTCCTTACCTATTTTGTTCCAGTGAGTTTAGATGACAATGTGGAGAGGCTGGTGAAACGGAAAGATCTTGATTTTGATATTGTAATTTCAATGTCAGGCATAAAAACACTTACGGACACCACCAGGTTCCATAAAGATTGGATTCTGCCTATCACTGTAAAAAAAGTAGTAAAAGAAAATGGTAAGTAATATTAGTACCATACTACTATACTACCATAATACCATACTACTACTGTTTTAAAATCCAGCAATACTCCTTCCCTTAGCAATACTACTCCTTCTCTTGTTATACTAAATAAATTTTATTTGAGATTTCTTATACATGGAAAATAAAGTAAATCTTCTGGATACAGGGTACAGCAGAACAACGAACTGACCAGTTTCACCGGCATAGTACTCCAGCTGTGGAGGAGAATGACGAACTCTACCTATTGGTCTTGTCGTCATTGACCACTCATACCATTTCATTCATCATGGTTTGGACCGGACAATATTTAGGTTATCCTATGTGTGTGTAGACCTATTTAAAAAACTATAAGTAAGTGATTGTGACGCAAACAGCTTTTCTTCGTCCGTTTTTTACCCTGGACAATGAGAACACAATATAATCGTTGGTTTAAAAGCTTGTTTATAGGTGTGTATGCTGTTTTTGTCGCACTCATTGGCTTAAGATGCCTTTAGTTTTTTTTAATATGCACACTCATAATAACCTCTATGTTGTCCAGTCCAAACCATGAAATCATATGAGTGGGTAATGAAAACAAGATCAATCGTGTCTGTCTTTTCCCAGATTGCTGACAAATTCCTATTTCCAGCAGCAAGAAAATGAAAGGAAGTTAAGGAAATTTCGATGAATGGGAACCAAGATCATCTAAAGGAAAATTATATCTTATCTTATCTAAAAGGGGCAGGCTGAGACCATAAAACACTTCATCCGAAAAGTCGAATTATTGCGCACCCCAGACAGTTGAAAAAAACCTTAGTTGCTCTAGTGTATATGGATACGTATTGTCAGCTAAAAATAATAAATATATAAATAAGATTATATAATGCAGTAGTACACTATTTAAACTAAAACAAGCTGTTGGTCCGTCCTACATACGGGAAATGAGTTTTCAATTAAAACTGCATAGCCTGCCCATCTGAGCCTTTTACTTTTGGAAAGCACTCCTATATCTGGGTGTTTATACATTTTCTCTACTTAGCTCTCTGTTCTTTCGAATCTCAACCTCCGTTATCTTGAACTGATCCTTATATTTTCTCTGCTTTATATTCACAAACCCAGCAATAAGGTTTTTCGGTTCTTTGGTCGGTAGCCAAGCTTCTGAACCAAACATTAAGTTATTACTGGGATAGTTTTGGTATGGTATGTATCGATTTTGGCTTGTACTGACACCCTTGGCTTGTACTGAGCTTGTTGGACAGTTTTCTAGAGACCTACTACACCAGTTAACATTTTCATTACTAACCAAAATTTTGGTATGCCAAACACACATTCGAACATAAAAAAAAGTATCAACACTTTTAAACCACTTATATATTAAACGATTAAGTCATAGTTTTCTGAAAAAAAAAATATTTCCCAAACATGAGTTAAAATCAAAATGTTTATGACATAAACTTGTACTTACACAGATTGCATTTACAACAAAACTTGATTATAAGCAAGTGTTTGAGATATATAGTTGAAAAATATATATTACCTGATAACGCAGATCCTTTACGGTAGAACTAAAAACCACATTTAAAGTGAAATAGTATGTAGGCAAACACTGAGGATCAACATTTTTATAAACAAATAACTTGTAACATAAAAATTTCAATGACTGTTATAAACCAGCTTTTATAGTTCGGCCGCTTAGAAAGCGACCTCCTCTAGCCTTGGTTTAGCATTAGCGCGCAGGTCGCTTTCTAAGCGGCCGAACTTTAGTAAATCCTGAACTGAAATTACTTTAAATTTTTAGCATCGGCTGCTATACGTAAAAAAATAAAACTTAATTTCTAAAAAAACTGAAACCCCAAACTAAAATTATAGCTTCAACATTCCCATCCTTTCTAAATTATCTTTCTTTCAACACAAAAATCATGAAAATCATCTGTCAACAGGGTGTCTACCAACCGGGAAATCCGGGAAAACCGGGAATTGTACTTAAATTTTTACTGGCCATGAAATGTATGGGAATTGTCCTTAAATGCCAGACTATGTCCTTAAATTTTTAATGGGCCATAATTTTATTGATCGCTAGTTGGTTAGGAGCACATAAAAGGTTTATCAGATGTTTGTTTACATTTTCATAATTTATTACTAGAGTAATTATGCAATAAAAATCCCATTAACAATCTCAAACCCATTAATATTTTATCACGACAATCAAGTGTCAAGTCAAGTACTTCCAAGAACTGTTGACTCAGCAGCTAGCTCATAAAAGTTGTATCACTTTTATTCCTTTACAACTTCTTTTTTTATTACTAGGGTAATTATTATTAGATCCCAAACCTATTTTATCGTGAAACTAATAGCTTTAAAATGGCTGTTAAATTTCACTTCTTACTTGTACTTTCGGCTTGAAGATTCAATTTGCCGCGGCCAGTGCCTAGTGCCATAAAACTGTTTATGGTTTCATATTAAACATGTAAATAATCTACAGTCTTATTTTGTAAGTTAACCCCTTTTTTATGGACATTTTATCATTCAATTGACAAAACCACAAGCATTGTTGTTTGCATTAATGTTTTATCACTATGTAGGCCTGCTTGGTTTCAAATTATGTCATTGCATTTTCTGTATCTTTGTCTTATATTGTTGGCTATTCAGGTTTCAATGTTTTTTGTTTCCCATATATTTATTTATTGAGTTGTATGCTTTAAGCAATCTAAATCTTATGAACTAGAATGATGATAGTGACTTTGCTGCTATTATAACCTCATTGCTTGTTACTCAGTTTATATAGGCCCTCCTAAATAATTAGGTCTAGGCCTGGGTATTTTGATTCTTGAAAGAGCTGTAAAATATATTAAGAAAATGTAATTGAGCCTAAGATGAACAACTAATGATTGCTATGTTTAGATATTAACTTTGCAAATGAAAATACAATAATCTTACTCTGTGCTTATTGCTTAATAGCCGCTTACCATACCTTGATTTTGTACTAAGAATTGAGTAAAAATATGCATTAAAGATTTTTTTTCAAAAGTAGTCGAGAACCTAACATTGTGCCAGGACGAATCATGCCAAATTAATCGGCCTGGATCGGATAAGCTATGTTTACGTGACCGATGGAGATATTTGTCGCTATCGCAGGAGACAATGATTGCGTTTCTCTGTTACACTATAAAAGCTTTACCTAAAGTATAGGTAGGCCTATGTTTGTTTACTTTCAATAAATTTCTTTTTTGAAATTTTTAGCTCTTATCTATTATTATTTACTTTTTTCTCTGGTACAACTACAGTGAATAACAAGATTAATACAGTTTGACAAATCAGGAAAATTATTCGGTAGGCCTAGTAACACCGACAAAGGTTACGGCAAAGTGTCCTTAAATGTACGGGAATTGTCCATGAATTTTTTATCCAGAATGTAGTAGACACCCTGGTCAAGTGGTTGATTCAGGATCGAAAAAATAAAAAAAAACCCCGGTTACGTTTTTATATACAAGATAAACCAGTTTTATCTATTGCTTTTACCAACAAACTATCTTAATTACACAATGACTGACACATCAAAGGTATATGGTTTGAGAGCCTCTTTGCCCCAAGTATGAACAAATAACATACTCTTATTACTCAAAGCTCCGTAGCCTACTGATCAGTAGGCCACCAGTTTATTTTATTTTAAGAGTCCATTTGCTTTTTAATGGCTCAAAACTGAAAATAGCTGTCATTGATATTTATTTTGGTGCTTTTAATTCATGATTATGGCTAAGAATCAGCAACTAGTTTTAGTTAGTAACAAAGCTTGAGCCTACAAACTTATAATCTTGCCTAAATATGCATTAGCTTTTTTAACAAATTGTTATGCAAATTATAATGTTTGAAAACCTCTGTTAGCAGCAGCATTGTATTTGTCTCTAGACATTACTGCTGCATCTGATTTTATTTGTTTTCTAGGTGTTACCAAGAAAGTGGTCATCATTGATAAAAACCTGCCTCCCAAAAAAATGAATGTCCATGACAAAAACTTATGGCATGCCAAGATAGTCGCTAAGGTGATGCCGATCTCAAGTTATGATCCTGATCTACTGGGAGAAACACCAGGAATCAGGTGAGATTTAAAATAAAAATCATTCTAATAGTATAACATTATCTAAATTTTAATGATATTTTGTAACCGGCACTATTCTACTAATCAATCGGATGTTATACATTTATAGTCCAGTAAATCTGTCAGAAAATATGGGGTTGCTGTGCAAAAGGTCGGGTAGTTCTGATTTTTGGATATGTTGTTAGTATTGGGCCCATAACATAAAATTCAAGTTATCCACCTCGAGATACTGCCGCTCGCCGCGGGGCGCGCCACTTGTTAACGAAATAGCAAAAATATGGCAATTCCTATTGTTTTTCACTCAATCTTGCGAACCGTTGATTTTACCGAAAATTTTATATCATTACATTAAAGAAGAATACATTTGTGGCAGTTTAAGCCCAACAGCAAGTATGTAGCGTAAATAATGGTCAAAATACAGTCTATCAAAATAAATAAATTTTCCAAAGACGTATAAAAATTGTGGTTTTTTCAATATTTTTACAATATAGCTGTTTGAAGCAAACACCGTAATGATTTAGAGAGTTTTCCAGTTTATTTGCTATTAATAGGAAATAAATGAAAGTATGAATAAAAATACCCCCACCTCAGCAAACCTGCAGACTAAGCAAATTTCCATTTGCTTGATTTGATTTTCACAAACCTATTTAAATAACATTAGGTTTAACTGGTACCTAGGTTTGCTGCTACAGGGAGGGTAATTTAGTATATAAAATAATAATAGTATGTTAAGAAACAAATAAATTTACCCAATTTTATAAAAATGTGTCTATAAATAAGGAAAAAACAATAATTAAAAATCTTCGCTATTGGAATAACTTGACCTTTTTTAATTTACACTTTTTAATTTTCTCCGTAACCAATAACTGTAAAAAACATTTTAATGTACTAAATTATCTGTTTTTAAGCTCTACAAAATTCTTTAATGATACATTTGTAAAATTGTATGTTTTGAGGGTTAAAAATGAAAAAAAAATTCTTACGGGCAAAATACCTATAAAGCAACCGTTCCTATGGCCTTATCATGCCGATCATGCTTCGCGAACTCGTTTTAATAAATAAATGTACGTTTACATGATTCAATGATTTATTTAGGCCATTAAGCAAAAGCAATAGGCTAAGTCACTTACAATACAAATTAAATGATAAATATTCCATCTCTTGATTCACAAATAAAAGTAATGTTTGTACCAAATTCCACTAAATCGGATGATTTTTGGGAATCATCGTGCTAACGGACGATAATAACTTTTTTGGATACAGTTTAGTAAAATCTTTAGTTTTTTTTGGATGCAGGGTCTCCAAAAAACTCACCTAGTTTGAAAATTTATTTATTGTACTAGATACAATAAATGTGTTATTTTAACACTATCACACCTCAATATGCAAACCATTTGTAGCCCTGCAGACATGCAAGCTATTTTTACTCATTTTTATCATCTATACTTATTTAATACGCAAGCAGGATTTTTGTGACAATTACTCCTCCGAAACTACTGAACCGATTGACATGTTTTTGGTGTCATTGTAAAGAGCGTAACGTGAAGTTGTGCAGGAAACTTTCTTTTTAGGTAAATAATTAGAGAGTGAGGCCCTGGGGCCCTTTAAAGTTTCGTATTTATCCATAAGATTAACATGGGAAACAAAATTTGTTATGAAACTCCAGCTGTTGTCAGAAATTAAAAGTGAAATATTTATTTATGGTATCCATGGTAACAAAGAACAAACCCACAAAATTTAAAAATTTAAACAATCAGAACTAACTGTCAAATTAGTTTTGATTTCAAAATTCCACACAGCTGGTCCAAATATATATTTTTTTTTTTTTTTTTTTTTTTTTTTAAGGGAGAGGAGGGAAAATGCTTTTACGCACACAGGTAGCCAGCCTGTAGTGTGAGACTCCTGAATCTATCGCAGACTACTCACTAAAAAACCCCCTCTACTCTGTTGGACACACCTGGAATTGTTTGTCACATTACTTCAAGTCAGGCCAACATGTTACCTAAGCCCTCAGGGCTCTCACCGTTTATGGCATTTGGATACTTTAAGACCTACACCGCATCCCGGTCAAGGTCGAGCTTCTTGGCGCGGAGAATACCCTGGATGTAATGTGACACACAGGTCCAATTGTCCTCACCCTCCGTCATCATCGGTATGACCGTGTCCACCGACAGCAGTCCTACTAACTGTTGAGCCTCCAGGCGGGGCCTTTCCCAACGCTGGCAGTGGAAAAATGTATGTTCCACGTCATCGGGAATGCCTGGGCAGTATATGCAATCGGGTGACACGGCTTTGCCCATCCTGAACAGGTACGACCGGAAAAAGCCGTGACCCGTCAGAAATTGGGTGAGGTAGAAGTCCACCTCTCCGCACCGCCGATTAACCCAAGGTTGGACTTGCTTTATCAGTCGCCTGGTCCAGCGTCCCCGAGTCTCCTGTTCCCAGCTCTCTTGCCACAGCTGGTAGGTGCGGGTGCGTTCCTCTGTTCGTGCCTGGTCCTCCCCACGGCGCTGATAAATTGCTTTTCTCTCCGCCGCCAAAAGTTTGACGGGGATGACTCCAGCAACCACCAGGACGGCGGGTTCGGACACTGTTCGGTAGGCGGATGCAACTCTTAGTGCTGCCTGACGCTGCACTCCTATATACCTCCTTATTTAGAGCGTCTGCCCACACCTCAGCACCGTACAAGAGTACGGACTGGACAGAAGACATTAACAGCCTTCTACGGCTGGACCGAGGCCCTCCGACATTGGCCATCAACCGGCTAAGAGAGGAGACCACCCTAGCGGCCTTGTCCGCCGTACGGAAAATCTGATCCCGCCAGCTAAGCTTGCTGTCCACCATAATCCCAAGGTACTTGGCAGAACGAACGGTCTGGACTTCAACGGCCCCTACCCTCAACGGCACGATGGTGTCAATCCGTTTTTTTGTTAATATCACGATCTCAGTTTTGCTCAAAGCAAGCGAGAGACCGTGGTCTGTCATCCATGCGTTTATAGTACGCATAACTCGGTTCAGCTTTAGCTGAGCCAGCTCAACGCTACGTGCAGCTATCAAAACTGCAACGTCGTCCGCGTACCCAACCAAAACAGTTTCCTCAGGCATTTCAGACCTCAGGAGGCTGTCATACGCGACATTCCAGAGGTCCGGGCCGAGTATGGAACCTTGGGCAGCACCGGAAGTGACACTCATCGTCCGTGGGCCCTCTGTAGTGTCATACAAGAGGAGGCGGAACCGGAGATAATCCTCTATGATACGCATGAGGTATGCCGGGACGTGAAAGGTGTTCTCCAGAGCATCCAGCATATCGCACCACCTCGCCGAATTAAATGCGTTTCGCACATCGAGAGTGACGAGCAGCACAACCCTTCGAGAGTAGTGGTTAAAATCCTCAGCTCTCATCACGGCTTGCTTCACCTCTTCAACAGCGTCAACCGTAGATCGCCCCATCCTAAATCCATACTGCCGAGGGGACAGGTCCCCCGCAGCGACTACGGCTGAATTCAGTCGGGAACGTATCAACTTCTCGAGGACTTTTCCAGCCGTATCCAACATACACAGAGGTCTGTAAGAGGATGGCAGGTCTGGATCTCCCTTCCCCTTCCCAACAAGCACAAGCCTAGCTGTTTTCCAGCACGAAGGGAAAACTCCTTCGACTAGGCAGGCATTGTACATGCGTAAAAGGATCAAGGGGTTAATAGTCAAAACCTTTTTGAGAACTTCGCCGGGTACCCCATCGGGTCCAGGAGCCTTATTGTTCTTCAGGGATAGGACGGCCGCCTCCACCTCTCCAAGACTGAAAAGTGGTACGTCATCCACCCTTCCGAAATCCCGCAGTGGGCGCAACGTGTGAGCCGGGAAAAGGGACTCGACTATCCTCTCCATAGTGGCCCCATCCATGACGGAAGGTGGAGAGCGGGTGCCAAGTTTCTTGGTTACCAGTTTGTAACCCAAGCCCCACGGATTGGAATCGATATCGTCCCTTAATGTCTCCCAGCAACTACGTTTACTCCGGTTGATGGCTCGACGAAGAGACCTCCTAGCCACTCTGTAAGCATCCGACTTACGACGTCTGTCTACAGGTTCTCTGGCCCTGGTAGCAAGTCTTCTGGCTCTCAATGCTGACCGACGCAATTCCGCAATCTCGGCAGTCCACCAGTACACAGGTCGCTTATTGCACCGGGATCTTCCGCGAGGCATAGACTCATCGCAAGCGGAGACGATTAGTCCCATCATGGATGTAACTAACACCTCTGCATGAGCCACACTAGTTGCGGGGGGAACCACCGGTGTTCCTCGTAAGATGGCTTCATTGAATTTTGCCACGTCCAATTTTTTAATATTCCATCGAACGGGCACTTGACGAAACGCGGCTACTTGTCTCTGATGACCATCCAGGACATCAAAAATAATGTACTGGTGGTCACTGCCCGTGTAATCCTCCAGAACTCTCCAGGCTCTGATCCTTGGCAAAAGGGACTCAGATGCAAGGGTTATGTCTGGGATCGTTCCCCGCATCCCAGGGCGCCGGAAAGTTGGCGTGTTTCCCTCGTTGACGACAACGAGTCCGGCTCTGGCAGCAAAGTCCAGAATGTACTTGCCCCGGGAATTGGTGAGGGTCATTCCCCACTCGACAGCCCTAGCATTAAAATCCCCACCCACGACGACGTGCCCTGTGGTATTGCGCACGCTCTCTTCCAGGCGGTCTATCTTCTCACGAAGTTCACGGATGGCCTCGTTGGGAGTGAGGTAGACACTAAAGTAAGTGACATCCCGGCACCGAACCCAAACGAAACCTCGGCCCTTCGCGTGACCCCGTACTTGTACTTTCGCTGCATTACGCGCCCAGAATGCAGCAGTACCAAGACTATCAGGGAACCAAAAAGATGGGTCCCTATCACGGTACTGGTACTGTTCGCTGACTAAGAGCGCGTCGACATCGTGTTCTAGGGCAAGCTGACATAGAAGTGCGTCAGCCGACCTGGATCGCTCAAGATTGC